ATGTACGTACTACGATGTGCGTACATCTACATGGATTTGTTAATACGTTTTTACACGTAAACATTTGTGTGTCCTCCATCCATCCAGCCAGTCTGCAACTCATTAGCATTTTATTCAAGGGATCAATAGCGTGAATCACGATGAGCTTAACGAATATTAATGGCGATGCGCAGGCTCACACTACTGTGAGAAAATTGGGCTGTTTGGCAAGATGCCAGCGTGCTGATTTGCATACATGTGTGGACTGTCTGTCTGGTCTGTGGAGGCCACGTACCGTACATGTACATATTCATGTTTGTATTGTACCGTATATGTATGTTATGGTATCAATAGAATCACTTGTACATGTACGTGTCTGAACTGAATATGAATAAAAGAGATTATGCACATGTACACTCATTTCATAGCATTGTACAGTAAATATACATGTCTACATTTACTGACAAATGAATGCAAAGCCAATGTAAAAAATGTACGTACATAAACATGTACATGTACCAGTACTTTCCAAAAGTTTGCGCAGCATACTGGTACACATCTGTTAGCTATACATACTGAGCAAAAAAATTTGTACATTTATAACATTAATTAATAACACTAACATTTCTTTCAAAATTTTTTGCACTTAGTCCATTCATAGAGCAACCAAATTTCATTATAAATAATACTCTTTAAAAAGTATTTGTTGAAATGTTCCTCGTACATTGTGCAGTACCTGTACAGTGCATGTACCAGTATTTCGTTTTCTTTGCTTAAGTACGGTACATGTATCATGTTATCGTTTGACAAAATATGATCAGTTGTATTGAAGTGCTGACATTCCAAACTGCCCAGTTCAAATTCACACATTGCAAAGTTGAATGCTTTCCTTATGTTAGGGTATACAATGTACATGTTTTCATTTCTAGATAGACTAAACAGGAATTGCGATGTTGGTTACGCCCTGACACGATATGTACAATGTACATTTGTATATTTTTGTACTGTAGCATTCAAGATGGTGTCGCTACAGTGATTGAATATCTTCATTAACTCAACGAAATAAGCATTAATTTGTGTATTAAAACACATAACATCTGGCCATCTGCATAGTGACTGTCCTTGATCAAACATATGTTGGGAGTCATAAATTCAAACCTATGTGAGCGAATAAAAAAAACACTGATTTATTGTCACCAGATTCCCTGAAATGAGTTGACATTTATTCTCAGATTAGTTTTCTTACTAGATACTGATCTGCTCTTCATAAAAAAATCACCTCAGTTTGACATATTAATTTATGCAGACTACATGTACATAGTACATGCATATGATATATACCGGCATGCGAATACATGTATGTTCACCATTCCTGTTGATTTCCCTCATGTACCGGTAATTATTTATTCAACGGCCTATGTACATGTACATGTATGTACAGCTTGTGACTCATTTTGTTGGCTTGGGTTAACAAAAGATACTATTGATTTGCTTTGTGATGGACGTCAGTTGCTCCCTTCTTAATACAAGTACATGTAAGTCCTGATTTATAAATACCCCAGCCTTTTCACACTATCCAAAATCTCTGTGTTGAACCCGGGTCCAAAACAGAGATTTTGGGAGCCCTTTTCGCAGTAGCAAGAATCCATCACAGCATGGTTGAGAGTCTCTACCTGGGTAGGAAATCCAAAATCCACATGGACAGCTTACCTGTGTACAACCTAGTGATAGTGTGAACAGTATCTTGCCTGTGTTCAGTGGGACCTGGTTCTCTGACCTTACAATTCCCTAAAGTCGACAACTTGCTCCATTTCATCTTAAGTGGGGTCAGGGAACCAGACTACAAGAACATGATGTTTTTCTTGGTTTTTCCAGCATCTTCAAGCCCAAAACATGAAAAAAGTCGGTTAAACAATATTTGCAAACTACTCCCCCAAATCCATTTACTACTGAAAATTGCAGCAAGAGCAAATGTTGTACCAGTACATTCCCTTTAAGTAGGGTTCAAGCGAAGACTTTTTTCATCCTTCAACTGAATGACAGGTTACAGTAGCCACCTCCCACATCAAAATAAACAGTGACCCTTTTAAGTGGAGAAAGTGAGTTTAAGGGGGCTGGAGAAGTTGTAAAACTGTCCAAGTTGTAAAGCTGTTGTTTTGGGTTCAAGCCCAGCGTAATAAATCTCCATCCATTAGTGGGGACTTTGCACCCCTAGGTACCTAGAGATGTACCCTCTGAACCTGTTGGCTGGGGTACGCCCAGTGCAGGCATGCCAGCTATTGATAGCCCACATCTGGGTTTATTATGGGTGGACCAGGTATCACATTATCAACATGTCAACATGATTTAATCTTTGTTTCTATACTGACTTAGTGCCTCAAAAAACCTCTAGACAAATATTTTTTTTTACATGAGACTAATGGTGTAATAACAACAACACACATATCAGTCTGAATTGAAAAACAAAATGGCTTTGATTGGAGGAGGTTCAAGCCAAGTGATTTATAAGAAAATTCTCATCCGAATCAAAGATGGTCATTTGGAAATAAGAATTGCAACAAATATGACTTATTAGTTTGGAAAGATGGATCATTTGAATGGGTCAGTATACAATGTACTTTTTTGAAGTCAATTAGGAGCTGTTGACTCATATGTATGAAATATCGATGAGCAGTTTTAAAAGCAGAGACTGGCCAGGTTCAAATACAGAAATCACTAAATTAGACCAGTATGTTCATCTGCCCATACGTGTACAGTTTACAACTAGACACAGATGAAATAAATGAAATGAAATGAAATATATGTAATAGGAAATAACGTTGAGGCGTGTGTACATGTATTTAGAGATACCAATACCTTGAACACAAAATTTACTGTATGAAAGGACATACATTGTGTGACCCAAGGCCTACTTCTGTTCCCACTATAATACCGTACATGTACAAAACGTATATACATGTATGTACTTGTACGCACACATAAATCATAACTGATTACCCCTCGTGTAAGGTCAGAGATGAATCAATCCAACCTGTCCTCAATCCACCCCTCTTTTTTTCAATTACTTCTTTGGGCTGCATCCCAGGTTTCCATTATCCAAATCACTAGCGGTGCAATTAGTGGAGTGGTCAGACTAGGGCCAAGGCTCTCCATGGAGAAGGTCTGGTTTTCCTCCCCAAAAAGGACGATACATGTACCCCCTCTCTAGATGACAGTTACCGTCTTTCCTGTAAATTTGTAAAGGGAATATACATGTACAGTTTGCAAACATCAAAAAACAAAACTACCACATCATTAAGAAATACCTTACTGGACTGTTAGTGAATGACAGTCTAAAGTTGTTATTTTCAAGAAAAGTGGTATTTTTGTATCAATTTCCAACACTGGTTGGCTGACCAGCATTGGAAAGAATTTTTTTTTTTTTTTTTAAATTACTGCCCCAAATTTACCATATTTAGTGAGTCCGCACGTTGTTTGCAATCAATTACACACCTATGAATGAGTACAAGCAAGCTAGACTGAATCTCTGACCCTACAATTCCCTGACGTCTATAGGGTCAGGGAACCAGACTACAGGAACATGATTGTTTTTCTTGATTTTCCAGCATCTACGAACACAAAACCTCAAACAACTCGGTGTAACAATATTTGCTATAAAATACTGAACCCCAAATCCATCCATTTCTGAATTTACAAAATGTACAGCAAAAGCAAATTGAGGTACATGTACACATGTATAACACTGTACATACATGTACATGTACCTGGACATGGAAGAATCAAGGAATAGGCAAAATACACGTACATGTACATGTACATGTACACGTAATTGTGCATTGTTCACTGTCCTTTACACTTTTACATCCTGTAAACCCATTTCCTGGTTCCATTGCACATGTTCTCAAGAGTCCTAGGAATACAGGACATTTTTTGTTCAGAATACAATTTGTGCAATAAAATGCAGGTCTGCCTGTACAATCATTTGAATAAGAGCAAAAAGAAAATGCACAGTGTACACATGCACATGCATACTGTGGCTGGGCCAGCAGTTGAGTGGAATGTCAACAAGGGTAGTCTCCCAAGAGAAATTGAGCTTGTGTGTGTGTTATTGTTAAACCCAGGCAAGGCCAGTCTCCAGTTACTTCAACTTGGCAGGGTGTTAATTCCCTGTCACAGAATGTGTGGGAAATCTGCCCTGGTCTCAAGGTCATTCACAGTGTCCTGCCCAGGACACCCAAGGTTACTAGCTCCATGCTCCAAATCAGTTGCTCTGAACGAAGGTCAAACTTATATCAGCTACATTCTTAGATATTTTTTTTATGATCTTGTGTTTATTTGGAAATGGGGTTGGGGCTGCAGTTCCCACACAAGCACTGGGCATGGAGGCATTAAGTGAATTTTAATATTGGGGTTTGACCTCCAATAATTTTGTAAACGCCAGAAGGGGGAAATCAGATACAGCAACTTTATGAAAAAAATGCAATGGTACAATCAATTTTGAGCTGTCACATTTTAGAATGAATCTTGACTGAGCTCATTCGTTATTTTTTGGACAGTTACGCTAAACTTGTCCAAAAATGCCCAATGTACAAGAATTTTTTTAGAAGTGCTTACAATGTGTGAAATAATTTCACAAGCTTGCTCAGTTGGAACTCAAACCCCTTTCATGGTTGCTACTTACAAGTTACAGACATTTGAACGGCTTGACCACTGAACTTGTCGCAATCAGATATGGTTCGAATCTATACTTGTACCAGCTGATAACCCAATCAATGAGTTTTTGCAATCAGGTCGGGTAATGTTCAATATGAAGTTTTACCCTTTGCCACAATATTATAAACATTGTAACTGCGCTCACTGAGTTCGTAGAACTTAAGAGAAACACATAACTGGCTTGCTTTGGTGGGATTTGAACCCATTACCTCCTGTTTACCAATGAAGATGTGTTAAGTCCTGAAGTGTTCCTTTCTTGATTTTGTGTGTGTTAACGTCAAGGGTTTCTTGTTTTATCTTTCCTGCAGGAGAGAAACCATACAAATGTACTTGGGAGGGCTGTGAGTGGAGATTTGCCCGCTCGGATGAGCTGACCCGCCACTACCGCAAACACACCGGTGCCAAGCCATTTAAGTGCAATAGCTGCGACCGCTGCTTCTCCCGATCAGACCACCTGGCCTTGCACATGAAGAGGCATCTCTGACGCCAGCGACTTGTGGGCAGAGGGCAGCGCGCGGCCGGCAAGAGTCTACTCATCTCAGCATTGGTAGATCAGAGATGACCATCATCATCTCCTACTAACCGCCATCCTCCCTATCTGCATTATAATTACAGAGTACACTTAGGTCCTGAAATCACTAGCTCTGCCATGAAAAAGGGGGAAATGAACTGCACTGTATAGTTAACGAGTGGGGGATATTACTGCAAAGCAGTACGGAAGAGGTATTGTGTACGGTAGGTTTGGGAACGGAGCTGTCCTGTAACGATTGTGACGCCCAGGAATTTTTACACAGGGTCTCGGAATGGAAAGGAGCGATACAGTGAGGGCTTATAAATGTGTACGTCATCGGCCAGAGTTGGTCCGGTCATATGGAGCAGTAGTTGTACAGTGAACACGATATCATTTGCATCCCGCATCTGATGTTTATGTACGTATGTATGTTTAATAACAGTGTTTGCCTATCATTACTTGTACACATAAAAACTAAAATAGTAAGTATATATCAAATATATCCAAATTTCCTTGGTGGAGGTACAATTTGAGCAAAAAAAGTACAAAACTCTAAAACCAAAAAAAAGTTTATAAACTGTCTATGAGGTCAAATTATTGGTAAACTCAACAATTGTATAAATTGTAAAAACTAAAAAAAAAAAAAATCTGTTACTACTTTTGAAATATTGATGCATTATATATTTTTGTTTTGAACAATAATTTGTTTATCAATAGTTTCTTTTCCATTTTTTTAGTACATGTATATGATTTTCTTAAAACTACTGCATGTTGTAAGAGCAACTAATGCAAAAAGTAAAAAAAAAAGACATTGAAAAGGCAAAGAAGAGTTTTTCAAAGGAGAGCGAGTGCAGCCATGATGAAGAAGCAATCTTTGAACTTTTCCGTGTAGACCTGGGAGGAAGCATCTTATCAGTGGTTATCCTGGTTACGGGGCCACACGAAGGTTGCCTAGCAACAGGTCAAGTGTTGCAGTGCATATTATGGCAACTATCGTTGTCTCAGGCGACGGAGTATGCAAGTTGCGGGACAAATACTTCATCTAGGTCCTTTGCGTTTGGCATTCACTGGCCATCAGTTCACGAGCTCTTTCAGGAAGCATGTTTTGCCTGTGAAGCAGAGGTTTGGTTGTTAACACTGATGATACATTCATGATGAGGCAGATCTTAGTCATGAGCTGGCAAGCTTGCAGTTTTAACCCCCCCCCCCCAAGCCTTGGGGGGTCTGTAGTCATAGTGTGTGTCTGCGCAGCGCTTCCTGATCACCTGCCACCGTCACTATGGCAACAGGAAGGAACCATTCAACAATTAGACAGATCCATTTGGTTCATGTGCATGTAAGGTTATTTGTCAGCTGCCTGTTTGAATACATGTACATTTATGTTAGGTTTGTCACAGTTCCACCACATACATAGTTCAAGGATAAAAAGTTAAACTAAGTAGTTTGTTGGGAAGGGAGATTGAGGGGATGCAAGGAGAAGATAACAAAACATGCTTCTTCACAAAATAAATCTAAACTGGTACATGTATTTTGGTCTTGGTACAAAAAAAAAATCAATACACTTCACAGTTTTGAGCACGCACGTCAGTTTTCCTTGTTGGTGTAAACAATTGGTTTTATCTATGGCAACAACTCTGGTGTAGTAATTACAGCAAATCACTTGATGCAACTGTACACATGCTGAGAGTCATATTTATATCTGGCCTTTATTTATCACCGTTGTTTATGAAGCTAGTGACGTGGCAGCACCAGTGGAGGAAAACATGGGTGAAAATTCTGAGACAGTTTCAAAGCGCATGCTATATTTCCTCTTGTTAGTGCCCTGTGTTTTTTTAATTAAGGCTGCCTGGGCGAAATGCATCCTCGTAATTACTAACTGTGCTTGTATTACACTAGTTTTTTTCAATTCATTGTGTAGCTTATAATAATGTGCACTCTTATAGGAGTGCAGTATCATAGTATCTATAATTGTTTGGGTGTTTTGATTTAATCCCACCCACAAATTTCATCATTCCGTTTTCATACTCAACTAAAACAAAACAAAAAAGTTTGAATAACAAACACTGCAGATTGTTTTACTCCAAGTGGCCTTATGTTTAAAAACAACCTGTTGATGTAAATGGTGCTGTTTATTAGCTTAGTTCCTTTTGGATATTTTTTGTGGGTCGGATTCAGTTTCCAAGTTATTTTTTACACTTCATGAATGTATACATAAAAATGTGAATAATTCTACTCGTTATCAGCAGCTGGTACAAAACTGTAAGTACATGTACATGTATGTACTCTAATGTCGGTATATTAATCGTTGTTATGAAGATTCTGTCAATATCGTGAATATCTGAGATTTGCAGAAGTGTTTTGGCTTGCTGGGTAAGAGGAGTTTTCTCCCCATGTTCTCTATGTATCAACCAAAAGAGAAAGTTCTTTTTGAGGTATGTAGGCTGCCACACTTTGTAGAATGTAAATTCCTGGGTGCATGACCCCTAAGCTACGGTAGTCTCTTTAAGGTCACCGTCGGAACTTTCGCTTCCCTGGGCCTGGTAAAGTGTGGGAAAATAACACTTGTCTGACATTGAATGCTGATGCCCGAATGAAAGGCAGTGGGGGTTTTTGTAAAGAGGAAGTCATGCATGCACCAGGTTGGTCCAGAAAAAAAAATAAAAATACTGGGTGCACTTTTTGGCAATGAATTGCGGGGTGCCATGAATTGTCCATTGACGTCAGCTCTACCTGATTTCCTTCTCTCCCTGTGGGAAGTGAAAGAGGGTACATGGGATAATTGTTCTCATAATGGGGGTCACTAGGAAAAAAAAAGCTTTGAACGTAAACCCTCAAAAATGACTTGGACACTGACTAGCAATTGTATCAGCCAAGGCCAGCTATGCTCGGAATTTTCCATCCTGTTCTGGGCTTTCATTCATTGAGATACTGCTTGCTGATTGGTTGGTTGAATGTGTGGGAGTCCAGGAAGGAAAAGAAAGGGGGGGGGGGACTAGAGCTGGATGATTTGTAGTACTCTTCAACTGTGAGGGTTTTTTCAAGGAAAAAAAAGGAAAGAAAAACATGTATTGAACTGAAACTAGAACTTGACTGTTCAAAGATCATGTGAAAATGAAAGAGGTGTGCACGGGAACTTTGTGACTTGAACTTTGACCCTTCTGTCTAGCTGGTTGTGGTATCACCATGGAGCTATCTTTTCATATTGTAATTGTACCACTTGGGTGATCTGTCTAGACCGCTGATCAACACAATCATATGAAGAACAGAACAGTTTTTGGATGAGAAAAAAAATAACATTGTGATTATAAAAACAGAAAAGGTCAGGCATGTTTGTGATAGCTGCGTTGCAGTGATAATTTCATTAATATCAGTTAATATCAGATCCTCACCTTGGCCGGTTAATTAATGACAGAACCTGTCCCTGAATTTCCTGCTATCAGAAATTGCAGAGTAGCAAGGGCCAAAACAACAAGGGACTATTGAAATAGAAACCAGCAGTTCTCTCTCACTACCCGCATCAGTCAAGCGTGGGAACTGTGGAGGCGATCCCTGGATGACTCACTGATGTGATACATGCACTAGGTGTTCAGGAAACTAGACTAGTCAAATTGCCATCCCTGCAGGCTGATCAAGGCCTTATGCATGCCTGATCTCAAGTGCAATTTCTACACAGTTTTCTTTCCTTTAGAAGTACAATTTGTTTAAAGGGTAGCATGATCACGACTGACCGACCTTGATGAGAAATGTTCCATACACTGGTGAAGCTGGTGTCGCATAATGAAAACAAAAACATCCAACCCTTTTTAGTGTGAATGACAAGCCAAACTTAATGTAATGCATGGAGATGTAAATGCATGAAGTAGAAATTGCCAATGTAGTGTGTAGAATATGTAGATAAATCATGAAGTAGATTTAATAGTGTTGGAATACTAACTTTAATCATGCCAGTTGTCTCTTGACCTGTGTGTGTGGGGGAGTCGATGACAAGAGGAGTAACTATGAATTGTAGGGGGAAAAGTTGCTTGTGAAATGACGTATGTCTGATTACCTCTTGTCTGATTTCTTGCAAAATTGATGAACGTGAAATTGATGTACAACATGGAAAAATCAGAAATAAAGGAATTGAGAATATTACAGCACGTTTTAAATAAAAAATTCACTGGCATTGTTCGATTGGTGTAAACATGCACAGGCAAGACAACAAATTCAAAAAAACTATAAAAAAAACAAATAAAAAAAAATAAAAAATAAAGAAAAATAAAAAAAGATAAAAAAGAGGGCTTTAGCCATCATGCTAATTGAGGCATTAAAAAAATGTAAGGCTTGAAAGATGTTGCCTACATGCAATTGTGGATCAGAAGGTTATAAGGATTTTGAAATTGGAACAAGAGAACTCTTCTTACAGTTGCGGTTGAAGCCCTGTGAGGGAAATTATGTTTAAAAAGTATGAAATATAAAATGAAATTACAAAAACTATTGTGTGAATATTTTTTGTGTACAAAAAAAATCAAACGGTACTGAGTTATATAATTTATATATTGAATATTTAGTTCAGAGAATAAAACTAGCATGTTCTTTTTTTATTTTAAAGTCTTTTCATTTTACTGGAATTGTATAATTTGTTTTTTATTTCAAAGGTATAGTTACGGGAATAATTATTACATAAAATGTTGTCAGAACACAGAATGACGAAAGCAAATCGGCCAATTGTAGCCATTTGCCCACATGACTTCTGTCGTTCATGCCTTTAATTAATCATATGTATGATTTACTAAAAAAGGATATTTTTTATTTTATGCAAGTAATGGCAGTTCTGCCAGCTGCACATTTATGTAAACCAAAAAAAAATTTAAAAGAAAAATGGCTAAGAAACATCACGCACTGTGCGAAACTTGACTTGGTCACTATCTGTAAAGCAACCTATGAATGAACTATATATATATATATACTGTATGTATATCTCAATAGATGTAAAGCATGAACATGTGTATATCTTCAATAGTTGTAAAAGCTTATCGTGAGTTTGTGTAACACTGTTTGAAAAGCTGTACATGTAGGTAGAGTAGTGACTGTTGTAAAACCTCCACGTTGCCTGTAGAATTCCCCCATGTACAAATATCTTGGCCCTCAACTTGTTTTGGATGTTTCATGGGTGGCTGGAACGTGAAGGGGCATGGCTGATAAATGTTCAAAATGATGGTATTTAGTGGTGGTGCAAATTTAACGAATTGCGCCAAACCGTGGTTGCTGAAATGTGTAACGATGATCACAAAATCGAGTGAAACGTATATTCTTGCAGTGGTGAACATGTATTGATGGTGTGTGAAATGATAACGTCGTAAGGCCTTCATGTATGTTGTCAGCAAAATTGATTGGTTCCATTGGATCAGGTTATAGTACATGCACGGAAAACATGTTGCGTGTGTGCATCAGCATCAATGAGTCAATGCAGCAGTCTGATAATTGCACAGTGTTGAATATACCACATGGTTGTGTGCAAAGAGCTTCACTTTGTTGGCAATACTTCAGATGCAAATGTGGTCATAATGGAAGCGGTAGCTCAAAAATGAAAAATGACACCCCCGTTGCTCTAATTGTCTCGCATATCCGGAATTCACTTGGAACGTCATGCACGCAAAGATGAATTTGCATTTTCCATTCGCCTTTACAGCAAAGAGATTCAGCATATGCCAATACTGCGTATCAATCAAATGCTTCTTCGCACTTTGTCATTCGTGCTGGTCCCAGAGAGTGCCAGCCAGGCTATAGTTGTCTTTGTACCTCACTGACTGACTAAATTGACTCCAGTGTGAGCCGGGCAGTGCTATCATGTAGGATTACCTTGTAACACCAATGAATGGGCTATTAAATCCGGCTCGTTGTGTACACAGATGCACGAAAAGGCTTCCAACAGGTTCCAGTGAATAGCTTTTCTGGATCAGGTGAATGGAATATTGTGGGCTCTTGGAACAGCTTGCCTTGTCTTGCTTCTGTTAAAGCAATTAAAATTAACAATAATTTTTCAGCCTTTGGAGAAGCAATGTACTTTCAAATAATGAGGCACTGGCAGTAAGGGTAAATCATATCACAGCTTCTTTCCCTGCATGTGTTTATCAAGGCATCTTTGGAAGGCCTTTAGCAACCCTGGTATCAGTCAGCCTATCTCTATGGTCAGACCTTGTGCTCAATCCTGGTATGCATGGAGAAATCAACTTGATTTGCTGAGGCAAGCGGCATGCCAACGATTTGATTCTCTGCATGTTATGGCAGACTCTGGCCCTTAGAATTCCAAAAGCTTAGGAAATCCTCTGAGGGTACTAGATAACAAAATTGTCTAGTTACTGTGTAGTGTGTACATGTACATCCCATCATAAGCTTGGCACAGTCTGGAACACATGAGCCTCAGTCTAGCAATCACACCTCCCTCCAATCATCACATCATTATTATGGATGATGCCTACATGTGTAAGATGTCTGTCCTGACTAGTAGACTCCTTCTTCAGTCTGATTTCCATGGTCAAGTGATGTCATTTGGCAGTAATTGTATGTTTTTACCACTCTTGAAGTTGTACTTGTTCAGAGGAAGTGTGGCTTCGGTACAAGTCTTAAGGTTCGGCATCAAAGCAACCATTTGTCATAGCTGTTTTGAAATTGAACAGCGGCTGGTCGTGTATACATTCCAGCTATTCAAGCTCAACACTACAGCTTTCGAGTGGGAAAATCATGCCAGTTTTTAATATGTAAGTCGGATAATAGAAACCCCAAATTTACTAAATTTTCCCGTAAATTTGCCCAGAAAATTGTAATTTCCTACTCCTAGCATGATGAGGCCTTTCTTGAAAATAGTGATGTAGTAACACCATGTACCTTTAATGTAATATCTGTGTATATTAATAGTATATAATGTGCAACAGCTATGCTTGCTCCATTTATTTTGTTATTTTTCGTCTATTTTGACTCAGGATCTGCATTTAGCTGGTAAATTAATAAAACAACTTCGAGTATGGAATTTCATAGTTCTTTGTGCCACTGGACTCCATTTTTGGTGGTGTGTTTTTCTTTTATGTAGAGCTCCTTGTATTTTAGTGCATGTTTTTCCACTAATTGCAGACCTATACTCGGTTCTCGTGAAATGTCAAATTACCAACGCAGGGCGATGTAAAATGTCAAGGTTTTCATTGCACTGGGACAAGTGCTCATTTCTGACTGCAGTGGGAAGTGATGGTGACAATAATGACTTTGTTATTAACTTGTCACAATTCATGTACAAGACATCTTTAATGTCAATGAAATCTTTCATTACATAGCGGCGATCTCGGCCCCCACCCTTCCCTCGTATGTCAAAAGTGTACCTTGTCCGTTTTACAAGAGTATATTTTTGTTGTTGTTGGGGGGGGGGGGGGGGGGGGGGGGGGGGGGGGTTAACATTGATTTAGGAGCAACACGGGTATATTATTTCGCTGTGCACTACACAGTACTGTTTAATTAATGCTCCTTCCAGGCGCCTGAGGGCGCTGTTGTCATGTCGAACACTCAACACTCGACACTTTTTACATTGTGTATTTAGAGATTTCCCAAACCTCGGTTCCGTCTCCAGCTTCGGCATCATTCATTACTACAACAGACACATTCAGCTTTTCAAGTTTATCCATTCATTCAACAATTTCGAAACACTAATTTGACCATTTTGTGGGAACAGTCCCCAAATGATCAGGAAACTAAATCGTTACCGATGGCTTTCAATTAGTCTGAGGATCACTGATCAGACATTCACGTGTGTGCAGAGCCACTCGACGAACGTCTGCTATATCCGAGCATGCACATTTTGTGCGGCCCGCGCGCCTTCCAATCGCAGTCGACTTTAGAAATTGTGATATATACACTGTACTTTCAATTGTTCATTATTGCCTGCCATTTTTTGGGTTATACAACAACGGGTTACCGAAGACCCGATCGAAGGGCCCGCTGAATAGTCAGAATCTGGAGTTCTGGGGACGCAGTCTTGTTTTTCATAATAAATCGCCGAATCTGCGCGAGTATCATAGACGCTTGTGTGCTATTCCATATCTTTGTAATATGATGGATGCTTAAATCATTATTCATCGGCTCATCAGGGTTCTAAATCTTAGAAACATCATGAGGCTTTTCTCACGGAAGGCAGTGCATGTTTTGGTACAATGCAACATAAAAGAAAAAATACCGGATACATTAGTAAACTCAAAAGATCTTATGGAATAATTGGCATGTTAGTCCTAATGTCACAGATATTTTGATGGTCTTGCCAGGCCTAATGAAAATAACAAGTTTGCAAATGAGCTCTCCAGAGAAGTGATGCAGGCTGTAACAATCCGAGGAATGTGCATCTATTGCCGTATTATTTGTTGTTGAGCAGGGATGCCAGGCAACACATTCATTTCAATTAGAGGCAATGCGTGCAAGGTGCTTGTTGGCTGGAGAGGAAGGCCGATCAAGAGAATATTTTTTGTTTGGTGTGCCTTAGCATTTAAAAAGAATAAGCCAAACTCAAACCAATGGCGTTGCGAAATACGGACTCCTATACGATTGCACTGCCCGGCTGTGGGGAGACAGTCAGTCAGTCAGTCAGTCAATCAGTGAGATACATACAAAGAGGACAAGTTGTGTAGCCCTCTGGGACCAGCAAGAATTGTTTTAACTAAAGCGTTTTTGAAACATCGGCTTCATTTCGGGCACCCCTGAGTTCGGCTCTATATCATCCATCAAATACTAAAAAGTGAACCAGAGTTTCGAGTCTTTCCGTTTTGTTTTAAGATTTAAAAACTCACGTATGGTTCTGAAATGAAGTTGCGTCGATACGACTCTAGGATTTTGAGGAAAAAATAACCCACACTGACAGATATTAAGCTGTTAAAGATGTATTGTGCTATTTTCGAGTTTCACCTCGAAAAATAGACTTGTTTTATTCAATTGCTATTTTCCTAGCAATATAATTGTTATTCGATTTGAATGGGACATTGAACAAAAAAAACCCCCAAAACAACAACAAGACGTTCAGTTATTGAATTATTTCTCAACAAAATTGGAAATATTGGCTGCCAGACAATAATTTGGCTCGCGCAGGGCGGGTTATTTGTGCACAAAGTGAATAGTTATAGTTTTGTTTCGTTGAAAATTGAAAATTTGTTAGGAGAAAAAAAATTCACATTTGGAAGAGCACAGCTTATTATGCATCTTTAATGTACTATACAATGTCCCTTCCTTTACCAAACTAATACGGGCATACGAGGGAGGCATAGGGACGCCGAAAGAGCCTGTTTACAATTTGTGTCGGGGTAATAATACCAGATATTGTTGTATTTTAGAAATGTGGTGAAAAGCCACAAGAACCGCACTCAACACGAAGTCATTACGTATGTCAACAAGCATCGTAATTGACCGAACGTTTCGTCTAGCGGGGAGCAAGGACAGCACTGAGTTAACGAGCCCCAAACTCTGAAGCTTCGATCGAGACTTTGGCTATTTTTAAATGGCAGAGGGGTATAACTAGGGTCCAATTTGTGGAGGATTGGGGGGGGGGGGGTGCACAAAGGAGCTCAGGCATATAGGAGGGGCATTCAATGGGTTTGAAACAATAAAATGGATCCAGGTCTCGAGCAGGGGTGGGGGTTGGGGGTGGGGGTGGGGAGGCTTCCCCCTTGTTATACCATGCACTGGGTAGTAACACGAACGAGTTTGCCACCCCCATCAGTAAAAATATGTCACTAACTGTCATTCACAAACACACGCATAACATCATCCCCCTTAACCCATACTTATGTATCCCCCTCTGTGATGAGGGCGTACATGTTCTTCCGCATGTTTTTTTTTGTTAATAGTGCCCAGTTACTGAATTGTTGTGCTTTACCGTTTTCCTTATCAACATGGTAACAGTTTAGCCCAGAGAAAAATAAGGATTTGAAAGGAATTACGATCGTGGGCGTCGGGGGGGGGGGGGGGGGGGGAGGAGGCAATGGGGGGGGGGGGGGAATTAAGGTCCTGGGCCCGTTCAACCTAAAAAAATTGATAAATTGAGAATGATGCTAGAGAAAGTACAATGATTTTGAGAGCTTTGGCCCCTCTAGATAAAATCCTGGCGACGCCCATGATTACGATGCAATTAATAATGATATGGGCAAGGTCTCACTGAGAAAAATGGTTTTCACAGTATTTGAAATGATGAATCGCTTTTTATCCGTCAATTTAATACATGTATTTATTCCGGTAGTCTGGTAATCGTGAAGAAAGAAAATGTCTACAAACACTACCCTGGAAACTAACATGCAATTCTTTCCAAACAATTATTTCAATGATAGAAAGTCCTGTTTTTGTTCGTTGATTATTAAATAGTGTTTTTACCTCCCGTTTTGCTTTGTTGATTTTAAATGGTGTATTTTTTTATTTTCCCTTTTTCGGGGGTGGTGTTGAACGAAGGCCCCTCTCAACACAATCACAAGTCGTGTTTTTTTCCCGTTTTGGGCTGTCACCCAATATCAATCAAAAACGGCCGATAATTATCAAATACAAGCGGACTTGCAGCAAAGTCATGTACCCCCTAGAGACTACCAATAAAAACTGCTGCCAAGTTTCACCACCACTGGGACTTGTTCCCACATAACTCCCACACAAACACCTGCGTGCGTAGGCCGGTAAACTGACTAAGTTTTCCCCTTTCAAACTGACAAAAACACTCTTGACTTTCCACCCACGATACCCCACGGGACTCGTTGCTGGTGTGTGCTTCATGTATGACCTCTTCAACAGTTTGACAAGGGCTGATATGACTAATATTTTTATTGATTTTTATTATGACCACTTTTTACACGGATGTTGATTGTTGGTTTATAGCTTGCAATATAACATTCCTTCGGCTGAATATTCCAAATTTCGCTAAAAAGTTGCGTTCCACGTGCTCGTTAACAAATTCGACTTTGTTTTCTAATAAATTTTCAACTTGTTTTGTATGTTTTATAAAAAAAAAAACCAAACCCCTCCTTTCATCCTTTTTGGACGTCTGCACCCCTCTGAAAAACAAGGCATTGTTTTGGGCGCACAGAGATCCGCTGTCCCGCGAGAACGGAATTATTGTTTGGCAGACTCTGATTCGATATTGTAACTTATATAACTAAACATGGGCCGCTTTTTTGTCGATGGCACATTTAAAGTTAATAACTATTGTACTAATAGAAAACTACAAAGATTATTTTAATTGTCGAATTCCTTGTGGTAACTTGTGGTTGGCAACTCGATTACAAGAGGCATGAACTCTAGCAAAACCATTTTCCCCAAGAATGGTTTCTTGTTTAAAACCTCCCAGTGCTGATTTTCATAGCTCGATATTTGATAACCCCATAGAGTCAAGCGAGCTTGAAAATCTAGGCAAATTCAAGTTGTTGGCTCTATGGTGATCTGAATAATTAATAGTACATTTTTATTCCGAATGTTGTTTGATTCTGTTGGCAGGTTGTGAGGGAATGATGGGAGGGGGCGGTAGGCAGGCAGGGATATTTTACGAACAGCCCGACCCAGGGATACAATTCTCTTGTAGCTGAGCTGACATTGACACTAATGGGGAATTAAAGTTGACATCCTTGTCAAGGACGCCATGATTGCTGTCAAAACTGTTGGTAGTAGGCCTATAGGGTAGTTGCGTATATCTGACTACCTCTGGGTGGTCGTCCCTGACCTTACGGAGTCCCAGGTCCAACTGACTCGGTTGGTAACACCTGGTTAGGGTTCCGAACGCAGGGTTACGAGCAGTGATGGTAACACGACATCACAGGGCGGACCGGCGGAGGTCCTCCGTGTTGAAGTCAACGGTCAGGGCGGAAGAACTCACCGGTGAGCTCAACGACCACGTTTTTAAAGTAGCGCCTAAAGTCTGAGAGCACCATATAGATCCCTCTCTCCGCTGCCAGGCGGATAAGTCTTCAACCACCGGCTAGCTGCTAGGAGTCCTGACAGATCCTCTACGCGTGACTTCGCCCTCCAACGAGCTATC